CATCTGCATCTCTTTCTGTCGTCTCACGGCCTCTCCTGGTGACTGTAATTTCTAACGGCACAGAACTGAAAATAACCCAGATGTCCATCAGTAGTAGGGTGGCTAAAAAATCATGGTATAGTCATACAACGGAATACTAGACGGCAATGCACAAACTGCTGCTGCTACTGCAAGCTGCTGCTCCATTCAACGATGGTCATTCTCTGTATGGCCAGACACGAGGAAGTACACACTGCGTGAGTCCACTCACATGAAGTTCAAAGCCAAGCAGAGCTCGTCTATGGAGTTAGAGGTCAGAGGCGCACTTACCTTGGAAGAGAGCTATCAGCTGGATTTTTCCTCTCTTGGTCTGAGCCATACGTTTAAGAATTTGTGTACTTTACTGGTCAGAGCGACGCCAAGTACCTGGCTGGAAAGGCCTGGGGGGAGGAGACAGGCCTAGTAGAAACCCAGGCATGGGGAGAAAACTTGGGAACTTACAAAGCAACAGTGCAGAGAAACAAGTCAGGACCACTTAGGGCATTACAAAGAGTGGTATGGATTCCAGGGCCAGAGAAAGCCAATTCTGCACAAGTGTCCAAGGCAACCAAAAAAAAAAAAACACAAGAAATGTAGACGATCCCAGGTAAAAAACACTATGGATGAATTATTGAAACAAATATATAAAAAATCTCCTGCTCTGGTTTTATTATAAGCATCTCTATATATTTGAGGTATTTGTCGACATAAATTTATGTGGTTCTCTGTATTGGACAGGTTAACAATTTCTGAAAAGAAGTTATATGTTGATCATAAAAATCTATTGGATGTCACTAGCACTGTGCTATGTTGTATCCTTTGGTCCCCACGCCACCCCTAGGCGGTGTTACTAATCCCCTCTTAGAGAAAGTGCCCTGAGGTCCAGAGACATGAAGCACACGTCGAAGTGCACACCACAAGTGGCAGGAACAAGCTCTAACTCGGGTCCACCCGGTCCAGCTTCAGAGGAAGTTGGAGAGAACCAGCTACAACCGAGGCAAGCACAGCTGAACACCGCAAACTAATCTGTCTCTCAGCGAATCAGAGTTGAGAACAGAGCCTTGGACGACATAGTCTCATGTAATAAGTTCTTTCTGTTTTAAATTTTCCTGTGATCACTCTCCACATGTATGTATACACACATGTGGTAATTTTATATACATGTTACAGATGGCAATCAGTCTGCTCCAGCTGTTAAAGGACTCCTGAGTAAATAATGCTCTCTGTAACCTATGATTTTCCTAAATGGGAAGACCTACACTTCAAGATGGTTAAAATTAAGATGCAAGTTTTGTTTAAAAGTCAGTCTTAAAGCTGCCATCGTCAACTTTTCCCCCTTTTATCATCTCTTATTTAGAAGTTTTTAAAAAGGCATCAATTTTTAATTTCTTGTTCTTGATTTGAGTCCAGGTTCTTCAGTTCTAACCAAAAATGGTGAAGGCCATTTCTGAAGGTTTAACTGTAGACAGCAAAATGACCCTCGCAGCCAAACTCCGACTCAAGGCTGCAATTTTATCTCAACCTTATTCCGTCATGGTGGTGGGGGGTTACAGTCAATATCTAAAAATACCTAACATCTTTGAGACAGGAGTGACTGAGCATTTTCCTGGGGTTTTATTTCTCCATTTTTCACTGATAAATGATTCTATACAGAAAAACAAAGATGAAAGGAAAGCAAATGCCAATCAATGCACTAAAACACACCAACCTAGTATATTGCTGTAATTTTCAGGAAAAGAGTGAATAATTTCTAATTCTTCACCATCTTTCACTCACTCAAGCCCTGAAAGGCACCTGGATCACAAGAACATTCATGTTCTCAATTAAGAAAAAAATTTTCGGAAGGCAAAGAAATTTTCTATGTAGGTATTTTTGAATGAAGGGCTGAATAAAAATAGCTGACTTCCAACTCTAAAAGAGTGAAAGAGAGAGAGAGGACATGTCCCTCCAAGGCTCTCCCATCTGAGCCCGCAGAAGGAAAGGAGTAATGATTAAGGTTGAATGAGGAGGAATGGTGCTCTCATTTGCATGCATGCTTTTCCTCTTGCAATATTTCAGCTGCCCCTTTTAAACACAAAAGGAGCCTTGAGGTTGAGCACAAAGGGTGCGCCTTCTCTGGGTGTCAGGCCCGGACCCAGACCCAGGTCTTCCCGCCCCTTCTCTGGCAGGCCCCAGGGAGTCTGCCCACTGCCTGGCGTGTGTAAAGCCAGGGCCACCACCTGTCCCATGCCTCAAGATCCCTCTGGCCAGGATCAGCACCACTGTAAGATCGTGCAGCTTCCTCAGAGGCTCTGATTGTCCTCTTAAGAGGCAAGAGAAATAAGCAAGATGAGGAAGTGACCACATTTTTCAAAATCCTAGAAAGTTCATGGAGCCATTACTGCTGATATGTTATTTACTTAGCAGTAACTTATTAAGTCCAGTAGGGCTGGCATGGTGCCTGGGTTGCTTATTTTCTATCCTGACGACTCACAGGGCCAGTCCATGTCTCTCTGCCCATCTTCACCTTCTCCCCGGATTCCCAGCAGCTCCCCACGCACGTGCCAGGGCAGAGGTCTGCCCTGTCCCTGGGGAGGTTCACGCTGCCTACTTTAATGATGCCATTCTGACTGCCTGCAGGAAGACCAGGCTGAGCGAATGAGAAGTCTCAGTTCTGAAGGCCACTGAAAAGACACAAACTGATTCCTTTGTGTAAGCATTTAGGAAGCTCAGGCAACTAAAAGCAGGCATGCTGTTTATTAATTTAAACTGCTGCCCCACTTGAACAAATCGCTGAGGTGTGTGTGGTAGGGAGACTGGCACTCTCAGCAAAAGACTACTGTGAATTTGCAGGGAACCGACAAAGCTCTGAGAGCAAAAGGCCCCGCCTGCAGTGCCATTATCAATAGCAGGCGGGGCTGCACTGAGGGGAGAACTGGTGAACCTCCTTAAGGATGTCAACTTTCAGCACCGCCCGAACTGTCTTTCCTGCGTTCAGTGCATTTATGAGCCTCTGCCCCGACTTGCATCTCCTCTTTCGTTCTAACCCTCCTGGTTTCTTCAGCAGTGCTTCCGAGGGGAACGTAAACCCTCACTTGGTAACAGAACAAGGAGAAAATATGAGTTGTAGGGCTGTGAAATAAAACTGCACAATCTTCAAAGTATGAGCTCAGGATAGATTTAATAGATGAAATGTTTCATTAGTCCAGCTCGTGGGAACTTGATCGGAAATGGAAGTTAAGTATGGTCAACGTAAACACGATTGTCTTTATGGTATTCTCACCACTTTGGATGTTGACGCTATTGTTAAATTTTAACTTCTCCAGTGGCAGCAGAAACGACAGATGTATAGTTTCCATACTTGTCAATAGACTCAAACAGCTGGTTAGTTTTTTCTTTCTCGAAATCAAAGGGCCTGACTTTCTCTCCTGTAAGCAGAGGTGCAGAATCCCCTGGAACTATTACAAATGGACACTAGAGGTTTAGATACAGCAGAGAATTTGCAGCAGCAAACCGTTGTTCAATTTGGAAATACTCCCCCCCTACTTTTTTTTGACAGATTTTATTATTTTTTTATTTCGACATATTATGGGGGTATAAATGTTAAGGTTATGTATATTGCCCTTGTCACCCCTCCCCCTCCCACCTGCCCGACACCCAATAGATGTTATTTCTATATGTCCACTTAGGTGCTGATCGGTTAATACCAATTTGCTGGTGAGTACATGTGGTGCTTGTTTTTCCATCCTTGGGATACTTCACTTAGTAGAATGGGTTCCAGCTCTATCCAGGAAAATACAAGAGGTGCCATATCACCATTGTTTCTTAGAGCTGAATAGTACTCCATGCTATACATATACCACATTTTATTAATCCACTCATGTATCAATGGGCACTTTGGTTGTTTCCACATCTTTGCAATTGTGAATTGTGCTGCTATAAACATTCAAGTGCAGGTGTCTTTTTTATAGAGTATCTTTTGTTCTTTTGGGTAGATGCCCAGTATGGGATTGCTGGATCAAATGGTAGATCTACTTGTATTGCTTTGAGGTATCTCCATATTGCTTTCCACAGAGGTTGAACTAGTTTGCAGTCCCACCAGCAGTGTAGGAGTGTTTCTATCTCTCTGCATCCACACCAACATTTATTGTTTTGGGACTTTTTGATAAAGGCCATTCTTACTGGAGATAAGTGATATCTCATTGCAGTTTTGATTTGCATTTCCCTGATGATTAGAGATGTTGAACATCTTTTTATTATGTTTTCTGGCCATTATTCTGTCTTCTTTTGGAAAGTTTCTGTTTATGTCCTTCGCCCACTTTTTGATAGGAAAATCAGCAAGAAAAAAATCAACCCTAAGTTCTAAATAGATTCTGGTTATCAGCCGCTTACCGGATGTGTAGCATGCGAAAATTTTCTCCCATTCTGTCAGTTGTTTTGACAGATTTTAGACTATTTCTCCTGGGGGTGCAAATTACACTTTATAGGTTCTGGTTTTTATATTTCATGACAGCAAGGAAGGTACACTTAACTAGGTATTAGAACTTTTTTACTTTTGCCAGCTAAATTTCTCCATCTTTTACCTAAACTGAAAAGGTCTGAGGTTGCTTCTAATGATGTTTTAATTTTGTAAGACCAGGTAGCATTGACTAAATGAAAAACTCACTTCATTTACTAAAGTGCACTTTTGCTTTAATCATGGCATTTAATTACTACACAGAAGAGGAGGAAAGATCAGATAATCCCATGCAAGAAAAGCCAGCACTCTCCGTCCCTCTGTGTTTAAACAGGCTGCCAAGAACGTCACAGAGGCTCCTGTGTCCAGTAAGCGAGGACTAGTTTAGGGACTGGCGAGCTGTAGTCTGCTGGCCAAACCCAGCTCACTGCCTGCCTTTGTACAGCACTGCAGGGTAGAATGGTTTTCACATTTTGAAATGGTTGGGAGAAAAAAAAATTGAAAGAATATTTTGCGACGTGAAAATTATATGAAATGCAAATCTCAGTGTCTATAAATAAGGTTTTATTGGAACACAGCCTTGCTCATTTGTTACTGCACCACCTATGGCTGCTTTTGTGCTACTTCTGCTGAGCTGAATCACTGCTAGAGACCACGTGGCCAGCAAAGCCTAAAATATATACTCGCTGGCTCTTTCCTGGAAAGTTTGCCAAGCCCTAGACTGGGTGATCTCTGAGGTCGCTTTCAACTCCAAGGTACTAGGACTTTTACTTCCTGACATAAGCAGGAATTTTCCATCAAAGATGATGTAGGGGACACCCAGTCGCTTGATAATATAATGATCCTAAAAGAACTGTCTCTTTTGTGTTGCCAACATTTCCCGTGGAATATGTAAACTAATACTCACTGATTCACAGAACATGTGCATAAACTTCCCAGATACTGATCACTTTTTAAAAGTAGGCTCTTGGTTCTGGAAAGCAATATTTATGATTTTTAGCAATTTTATTCTATTAACAGACTCATGAGACCATCTGAAAAATTATCAAGTCCAATGAAAATTAAAAAAAAAATTCAACTCCCCTAGGAACTCACATCATAAAATATTTTATTAATAAGTAAAATGATTTTCCCCTGCCTTTGGTTATTAAAAAAGATTATCTTTGTTGATACCAGTTGCCAACAATGGTTTTACATTATTCAGTCATGAGACAGATAAGGATAGGAAGATGATAGATATCTATAGATATAAATATGTAAAAGACCATACCATACAATGATTTATTTAATTACAAACTCTTGGTTTTGCTAGCAGTCAGAAATTTACTTGCACATAAAGTTATCCTTTTTATAAGTAAACAATACACAAATAAATTCACTTGAATTTGATAATTTAGAACACTGGCGGTGAATACAGTGCTTGTTGAGGCCTAGAAGAGAGGAAAACAGAACCGTGTGGGGGAAGAACGGCAGTATTTCTTTGAAAAGGTGTTCTCTTGCTTTAATAGTCTCTGTTGCCTGAAAAATAAACCATTTTGGTAACGAGAGTGTAAACAGCCTCATGGCTTTCAAAGCAAATCGTATCTGTGGTTTAAATTTCATCCCGAGTCTCAGGATTATGGCTGAGGAGCTAGACTTTGTAATGCATTTCTGTGACTTTTTATAACTAAAACAAGAAACTGTTTTACCAGGCTTAGGCAGAAATACTGATCTTCCTTTGTAACTACAGTGATCACTGGCACTCAGGACTACAGAGACACGGAGACCTGAAAACCAAACAGAACGAAATGCCAACCCAGACCACGTGACAAAATTAAAAGTAACTCCGAGAGCAGCAGGTGATAGTTTCTGATGTCAATATAAAAAACATCTGATTACATATCAGATGTCACCATCAAGCCAGAAAAATTAAGATATAGTCAAGAGTGGGAAGAATGGTTTTATTACTACACCACCCACAACTTCAAGGTTAAAATAATCCCAGACTTCTGCAATGTCTTCATTAGTTAAGTAACTATACAATTTCTTTCAGTCTCTTTTTAATGTAGAAAACACTTTGTAATAGGATCTCTACACAAGGTAAAAAAGCACAAAGTAGGTCCAAAAAAAGCACAAAAATAGACAAAATATATATATATATAATTTTACAATGAAATTAAGATGTGCCTGTGGAATACTGAGACTGATGTCTGATCTCATAGATTTCCAACTGGTTTCCTTTCATCACAGCTGTATTATGTACGTCTTTCCCCTCATCCTTGGCGCTTATTTAAAACAATGGCCCAGGTAAAAGAGAGACAACAGGTATTTTGATCTTGTACAGTCCAAAACAAACAAAAAAAGGCAATAACAATAATGACATAATAAAAATGCTTCATCTATCAGTTTATAAAATTCTTTTGACAACCACACCTCAAGGGCACTTAGAACTCAAGCATTTGTGACATACTCTTCAGCAATAACACAGGCATCTCCAGCTGCGGCTGTTTTCCCATCATAAATCGACGACACTCTGGGGCGAAGCACCCGGAAATGCTAACTCGAAGATGTATTCAGACACACCGGGGCAAACGAAGCCATCCAAGCGCCGTGATCACCGCCAACACGCGTGGACTTCCACCTTGAGAATCCATCCCTGTTTTCCTCTGAGTCTCATAAAGGACTCATAAAGGCAAGTGACTCTGAGTTACACAGTCACTGCTGGGTACATCTTCTGCTCACTGCTGGTGTGGGGGAAGGGGGACTGGATCTGCCTGTACCCAGGCTGCAGGCCATCCATGAAGGGGGGCACGGGCGTCATGGGCACGGAGTCGTGCTGCACCGTGTACCCCACGTACGGGGGGTGCAGGTACTGCCCCTGGTGCGGCACGATCTGCGTGGCCTGCTGACAGTTCAGCACGGAGAAATTCGTGGGCATGTTGACATACACGTTGTTCATGGTCCCCTCAGGCAGGCAACAGTTGGTCTGCGACCTCGTTGGGGGCGCCCGGGCCCCCGAGTTGGCGCTGGAGCTGGAGCTGGCGGCCGTGCTGGACTGGCGGGAGGACGAGCCCCGGGAAGTGCTGGCGCTTGGGATCATGGGGATGGTCTCCATCAAGCGGCTGCCCCCCGGCGCCCGGCTCTGCTGGGGCTCCTGCTTAGGCCGCAGACACCTGCAGCAGCAGGCTGCCACCAGGGAGCCCAAGATGATAAAGGCGACAAACACGGAGCCCACGATGAGGAACGGCACGTAGATGGGCACTGCAGAAAAGGACAGACACACGTTACGACTTACTGTTGGAGCGCACAGAAGAGAATGGGTGTCTGGCAGTGGTGGTGGACGGGCGAGCAGCACTGAAGCTCGGCATCACACACCTAAGCTGGGCTAGTGTGTTCGCATGTTCGTAGCCCGTAAGACGCACGGGTCCTTTACCAGGTGGCTGGGGAAAGGGGCTAAGACCCTGCAGGCATGGCGGATCACTCCTATAAGCAGAACTGTTAACGTTTACCCATCAGCTGCAAGATCGGTTGAGGAGGATATCCAACTGAGTGAAAATACGGGTTTCCTCTGTTAGGATCCTTACAGCTCTAGACTTCCTATGATATCGGAATTGCCCAGACTTCGGTCTGCTCTACCAGGTAGTTGTAGGACCTGCATAGTAACCATGAGTTACATTTAAAAGTCTTTTTTCCCCCAGAAACTTATTTAGATTCCTTAAAAATGGGTCTTGCCAGTCATGGCAAAGCACAGCACCAGTGCAGCCTTGGACGCACCAGCATTTTAGGAAGGAGCCCGCGTGGACTTCAGGTCAGATGCGTGAATACCCTTTGACTGTCCATTAGAGCAGCGGGACTTTCTAATTATGCTCCTCCTGACTGCTCTGGCATTTCTGGAGTCAGTGTTTTTAAAACAGAGTGCCACGTGGATTCAGGGAATCTAAGTTTTATCAATTTCTTTTTATCAATTTTTAGCAAGTTGGTTTTTTTTTTTTTTTCATAGGAAGACAAGTCAAACATTTAGGTCAGACTCTAAGCCACTAGCATTTTTTTTTTCTGGTTTCCTACACATATTACAGTTGTACTTTAATTCTTATAAGCCACTAGCATTTTTAGAAAGAGTCTGTAAGGCACAGCTGCCTAGCTGGAGGGTCCGTGGGTGGGGCACCGAGCGGTGGCGAGGCGAAGGGGTCTGCATGGCGGTGGAGGAAGGTTATTCCCGGCAGCCAGCCAGTGGGCAGCAACGTACTGAGCAAGACAAATGCCAGGAGTTACGGGACATTTGTTCCAGGAAGGACAGCCCCCCCCCCCCAGGTGAGCCAAGAAGTCACGTCTGCTCCGGGAAAATCTGCAGAGCATACAGCAGTGGTCACCGTACTTCACACCAGGCCTTACTCTAAAAATGAAAGCTGTAAAAAATGAAAATAAAAACTTCAACCAGTAGCAAACTCCACTTTAAAATTATTTTCTTACAAAAATCTTTTGAGAGCTAAGGGGATGGCAGCACAAGGCTTTAGAAACTGGTCACACAGGCTGACGGGGAGCAGAATCCGGTGGGAAGAGGCTGCAGAAGGCCTCTGAGCCACTGCTGTGGAATTCCACCTTGTGCTACCGAGAACCTGCATTTTCCAACATGCTCTTGCCCCATCTCCCCGACTACTTGTCAGGAACATACATGAGGGCAGGGACGGAACGGGTCTTGCTGGTCATGGCAAAGCACAGCACCAGTGCAGGCTTGGACGCACCAGCATTTTAGGAAGGAGCCAAGTGGATTTCAGGTCAGGATTCACGCATTAGATGCGTGAATACCCTTTGACTGTCCATTAGAGCAGCAGGACTTTCTAATTACGCTCCTCCTTGACTGCTCTGGCATTTCTGGAGTCAGTGTTTTTAAAACAGAGTGCCACATGGATTCAGGGAGAAATAATGCCATATCAGTAAAACACACTTTATAGGTACTTAACCAAAGGCTGACAGTGAAGATTTCCTGGAGATTCTATGCTGAACAGAGCAAGTTCTATATATAGCGCCCCTTTAGCAGGTAGCACGGCCGGTTCCCAGCAGTGGCACCGTTCTAATTGCGCTGTCACTTCGGGCTGACTATGCATCACTGGAGCAGCCAGCGGATGCAGGGCCCGTTCCTAGGTGTGCTATAAATATTTAATTCTCTAAATTATGACACCAGCCCTAAATATGTTATCAAGAGGTAAACAACACTAAAACAGAAAAAAAGTACCCCAAACATTATAGCAGAAACTAGCTGAAACCAGTCTTAGTCCACATAATGAGTTTTGGGGAGAAATAACTGTTCTCTTTCCAGGATTTTTAATTAGAAGTGTAAATAACGGCACAGGGGTAAAGAATGCAGTGCTGCTATACGCCCCTGGCAGGCTTAATTAGGCATGCTGTCTTTCTACGCTGCAGAAGAGAAGTGAATGGAACAGAACTTTTAGGGGAAAAGGTTTGTAAGTAGGCTGAAGAAGGCACCCGCACACGGTGCCATGAGGTGTCTGCAGCCTACTGATTTGTCACAGCCATCCCCACTTTTTAGGGGACCGTTAATGAGCCCAACTTCGCAGACGCCTCATCGCAGCAGTTGAGACTCTGGCTCACTTCTCAAGGCTTTATTCCAGGGCGGCACGCACACTCCGCAAGGCTGAACGCAACCGTCCTGGAGAGGGCACCTTTTCCGGAACCACCCTCACTTCTCCTCTCTTCGGATTCAAGGCAGCGGGACAATAGGAGTAGCATGCTAATCAAATGCTTGACTGCAAAGGGAACAGCACCCACCGAAAAGAGCTGTCTCTTACCAGGCCCCAGGAGTGCGCTCCACAAACACAGAAACCACACCGCGCCAAAGCCCAGGCAGCTGGGCGCAAGGTGCCGGTGAAAAAGTCCTCTAGTTAGCACAACCGCTGCAGCTAAAGGAGACGCGCCCCCTCTGGGACACGTTTGCATTTCACCTCTTACCCCTACCCACTCCCGAAATAAATAAATACACACACACACAGTTAGTGGTGTAGACCTGCAGACCCTCCAGAGAGGCAAATTGGAAAGGTTTCTGCAGAGTGGCAAACGTGCAACCTACCAAATTCTTTCACAGATATACTTTCAGTTTTGGTAATGTGAAAAAATACAATTAAAAAAAAAAATCCCAGCCACAAAGAGCAAGGCTGGGCACAGCTTTGATGTCACACCTACTAAGTCTGGTAAGGAGAACCGCCCAGAAACCTGAGAGGCCCTGGCCGGGCAGGGCGTGGGTGCTGCCCGGCGTCGCCGGGTCTCTGGCACGGTGCACCACCGCGGGAAAGCCCTGAGCAGCTGCTTTCCCTCCGGGGAGGCTTCAGGGAAGCACCCCTGCCAGGCCCTGTCGGGAGGGGCCTCACCCTCGCGTTTTCGGGCACCCCCCAAAGACATTAACCCCTACAAAGACAGGAGACACAGGAGGGACAGAGGACCCTGGGCAGGAATGCCGGAGCTGTCTGTGGCCCACACTGCCTTAGGTGTGTGGATTTTCTTCGGAAAACCCACGCCATGCCACCCCCTCGCTGACAAATAGGGAAACTGAGGCCCAGGGAGGCGAGCTGGTGACCCACACACAAATTAATGGATGGGGCAGAATGCAGGCTCCGCCTCCGGGTCCGATCCCTTTCCTGACATTTCAGGGCTTCTAATTCCCTGCCCCTCTCCAGGCTCCCAAGTCCAGGACGTCCGGGCAAAGAGTCAAGCCGACCGTCCTCCCTTTCGCGCCGGGTCACAGGCCGCCCTACCTGCCGAGCCGTCGGGGCCGTCTTTGTCCGCGCGGCCAGGCTCGCCGGCGCCCTGCTGGCGGTCGTTGTCGCAGCCGCCCTGGTCCAGCCGCGCCTCGGCGCTGGAGCAGCAGTAGCGCAGCGCGCAGCTGCCGCAGCAGATGGTGGCGTCGCCGCCGTCGAAGCGCTCGGGGCACTGGAAGCCGATGCGCCAGTCGCCCTGCGCGTTCAGCCAGCCGTGGCAGTACTCGCCGCTGGCCCGCGCCCCCGCCGCCAGCAGCGCGGCCAGCAGCAGCTGCAGGAGCGGCGAGGCGGCGCTCCGGGAAGAGGCGGCGGGCGAGCGGCGTCCGCCCCACATGGCACCACCCTGGGCGCGGGCGGCGCGTCTCCGGCGGGCGTAGAGCAGTCTCCAGACGTCGCGGCTCCCGCGCCCCCGGGGCCTCCCCGCTGTCTCGCAACGCCTTCCACTCAGGCCTCTTCCTCCCTTCTGCCGCGACGTCCGGGAGCAGACGACGCTGGGCCACAGGGCCAGGGGCTCCTAAGCCATTCCCTTCCTCAGCCAGGTAGCCCAGTCCCCGTTAGGGGCGCCTTCAGGGTGGCACTCGCCGGTGGAACCCACGGGGTGCAGAATCACAGGGCCCCGAGGGCTGCCATCCCGCAGCCCCTGGAGGCTTCGCCCGCAGAGGGGCTCTCGCTGCGCATCCCCGAGGGGACGCTCACCGGAGCCGGAGGACCGCTGAGCTCGCCGCTGCGGACCCCGAGGGAAGCAGGTCTCGGCCACACAGGCTTTCAGCCCCGGGTGTCCCGCGCGCGGGCCGGGCGCGTCTCCCTACTTTATTCCCCGCTCCAGCGGCGAGCAGGGGCGAAGAAGGCAGGCAGCGCGCGCAGGGCTCCGGGCAGCAAGTGCAGCGGCCGGCCGCGCTCGGCGTCCTCAGCTCCGGAGTCGGTCCGCATGGCTGCCGCCGCGCCGCCCGGGCAGCCCTCGGGGTGCAGCCCCGACGCTCGGCTCAGCCTGGCCGGCGTTCCCAGCGCACGCCGCCGCGGGAGCGCTGCCGGCCCCGGAGCCTGCCCGGCTGGCGGCGTTCGGTGGGCGCGGATCCAGGCAGGCGGCTCGCTCCAGCGCCCCTTCCCCGCCTCCTCGCCGCGGCGCAGTCCCCCGGCGCCGGGCACCTTCCGCCAGGCCCCCCCTCTCCGCCGCGCCCTCGGGAGCCCTGCACCCGACGGGAGCCTCCCACGGAAGCTCCAGTCCTCCGGGCTCCGGGAGCAGCCGAGCGCGGCGGCGGCAGCAGCAGCCTGCAAAGTCGCCTCGCCCGGCGCCCGGCCAGCCCCCACTGGCTCCCGGCCGCGCGGCGCTGCGCTCTTAAGAGGGGCCCGCGGCTCCCCGGCGCGCATGCGTGCTGCGCGGGCTTCCCTCCGCCCCCGGACGCCCCGAGACGCCCGGCTGCCCCGCACTTGGGGCGGCGCTGGGGGCCGCCTGCTAGAATAGGGGCGCTTGCAAACGTGACTTGATTAAGCAACCCTGGCCTTGCTAAACACAAGGGCAATAATAAAGGGAGCAATGGTAAAGGGAGCAAACCAAACTTGCTTAGTGACGATCTTGAGCATTCAGCCTTCGGGTTGATCCTCAAAATTGCCCAAAGGATTATACTTACTTTCCATTCCACAGGTGATGAAAGCGCCAGCCACTCAGCCGAAGCTGGGCCCGGCCCCAGTGGAGGAAGAGCTCGCATGTGTGTGGCAGTGGGCTCGAGGGGCGCTCGCGGCTTCCACCCAAAGGTGGAATGAAGTTCAGCAAAGACATGACAAATTTGGCCACTTTCTACATGATTTGCGCCGCTTTTTTCTTTCTACATTTGGGCGTGGTGAGTGATCGGATTGTAGCAGAAAGGTGCTTCCGTCCAGCATTCGGCCCTCGTGGTTTTAGACAGCTGCAGTCAGGAAGAAAACAAGGTTCAGGCAGACCAGAAATTCAGCTTTGGTGCAGGAGACATTAATAGCTTCTCTCTTGCGGAAGCAGAAACAACAGGTGCTCATGTTATTAAAGCAGCAGTGATTATTTTTACAGGAACTAATGCCCCTTCCCACATGGCCTGGGAGTCAGCAGACCTGAGTTCTAGACCCAGCCCTACCAGCCATGAATCGTTAACTTCTGCTGGCCTCAGTTTCTCCATCTTTAAAGTGGAACATAGGATGTAATAACCGCTAAGATCCCTCTCAAGTCCGTGACTACAGAACACAGGCAGTTTCATTAGCAGCAGAGGCACCCCGGTTCAAACAACCATCACTTGTGTACGCTGGTTAATGGAGAGACTCAGGTGTTGATTATTCTTTCATTCACACCAACAAAGTTAAAAAAAAATCTACCCTACTTTCCAACAAACACCTTGTTCTTTTCACTAAACCTCTCTCCAAGTATTGCACTTCATTTTCTTGCAGGTTTTTTGTTTATCTTTTAGCTGCATAAAACTGTATATTACTGTTACATAAAACTGTGAATACTGCACTATTCACCAACTTTTCTTAAGCTAATAAATGAACAAAATTTCAGTATCGATGAATTATTCATTCAACCAATACATGCTAAGCGCTTACAGTGCACTCCTCTCTGTGTGGGTTCACCAAGAAACCAGACATCATGGCCTAAAGTCTCCGAGAGTGAAACAGAGCAAATGGACAGAAAGATAAAGAATTGAATAAACAAAGATAATGTAAGTATGATAAAATCTCTGACCAATGGCGTACAGGATCAATTTAAACACATAATCTGGAGTTAAGAGGCAGAGGGAGGTCAGAAAAATCAACACAGGAATGGCATTTAAGGTTAGACCACAAGTATCAAGGGAAGACTCAGCTTTTCAGAATGAGTCACTTTCTTAGACTATACTATTAGCCAACATTAACTGAGGGCTTACTATGTGCCAAGCACCCCTGCTGAGACTTTCATGGACATTGTTTCATTTGATCCCCACAGCAGTCCTACAAAGAAGACACAATGATTAGCCTCATTTTACTAGTGAGGCTACTTGCCTGCTCCCTACAGACGCAGTTTCAGTTCACCTGGAAGGCACCCAGTTCCACCTGCTTTGCACCCAAAGGCCACCCAGCATGCTGCTGGTCTCCACAGCCTCCACTACAGAGCCCAGGATTGACTGGGAACTGTGTGCCAGTCACCAGCTGGGGAGGGGTCATTTTCCTATGGCAGCATAAATTGATTAGGGTGGTGTTCAGAGGGTTACTACTTTAAATTTTCTCTTTTTAGGAAAAAAAAAAATTAAGGCAGGAGAATTATGCTTATTTCAGACAATACTTATACCATACCCTCCTTCCATTACCCATTTATTCTCTTCTCCAAAACACCCATAGTTCATCAGGGTTTATTTATGAAGAAAGAAATTGTTTAACATTTCATATTGGAACTGAATCGTGACTGGGCAGTGCCACTGTGTAAGTATAATGTTTTTCCCAAGTAGTGTACAATTTAGTCTGTAACCGGTGCACTTGGAAGTGTGGAGCTTTGAGAAAATTTTGCCTCTTTTTTATTTTTGTGTTTCCTTTATTCCTTAAAAGTTAAGGACAGGACTGTTTTATAGTTACTTCATGTGGCAGTTGACTGTCTTCAGTACTCAAAGGCCTTTACATCACTCTGTCTCTTCTGCCGTGTTTAACTTGTCTTTGTGTATCTGGTATATTGTACTGAAATTTTATAACATAAATTGCCAAGTACTTAGTGAGCATCTCTCTCTGGGAGATGCTCACTAAAGGGAGATATTAAAGTGCTCTTGTTCCTTCCATAGGAAATAAAAAGAAATTCCCTCATCCTCCTTAACAGACAGCCTACACTATTTTACTAGTCTCTTCTGAGAAACTATAACTAGCAATCAATACATACAGGTAGTAATAATAACAATAATTTATTATAATCAAAGCTAAGTGTCAAGCACCCTGCCAAAATATATTTAAACATATATGAAAGAGCGCCCCCTTTTAAAAAGTTGAACTCCATGGACGTTAACTGCAAAAGTATATGTTCAGGTTATTTTGCATTTTCATATGTGCCTGTATGTATATATACACACATAGCTATGAATAAAATACAACTGATTCAAAAGCAAACTTCTGACATATCTTCACCGGTACAAGTAAAAAGTTATATAACTAAAGAAATGATTACTTATAACTTTGCTAACTAGAGTTGATACAAATCATACGGAGGTAATCATATTTCATTTGGCTGGCAGTTCTAAAAGCTGCAAGATCTCCAGTGATTTTCCTGCAAGTTTCAGCAAGAGCAGACGGTTCTTGCCATCTGCACACTCATCAGCAGTCTGTTTCAGGAGAATGGCTTTCACTAGGTTCATTCATTTTTTTCCCTCTTTCTCTTTCATAAATAGAAGTAGTCCTGAAAATTCATATTTCATTTACCAAAAGTTCTTTTAACTTAAAAATGTTTGTGTTAGCAAATAAGACCTCAAACCCAGACAAATATGTCCAATTACATATTTATAAATTTTGTCTTGTGTCTTGTTAGATACCTAACCTTATCTGAAAATAAAAATGGCCATAAATTTTTCAGGAAAAAAGCCTTCTTGTTGTTTTAAAATTTTATATCTTTCATCTTCCTTATTTTTTCTTATAATTAATATACTGACTTCCAAAAAGGTAATTTCCATATTTTACGTTCTTTTTCTTCTCATCTGCCATTAATGTTAAATATCTGACATACTTCTCGTCCATCCGTACTCCTCACCCCATTGTTTTACTGAGCCCCTTTTCTGTTAATATTGGTGTTTACTATGGTTATATTTTCATCCTGGAAATATGGAGTTAACAACCATGGAGGTATTATTTCAATTTTCAAATTATATATGAGATAAAAGTCTAGCATCCAGGATATGTATGAACTATTACAACTCAAAAACAAACAAACAAAAAAACAATTTAAAAATGCCTTGAATGATTTCTACAAACAAGAGATACAAAGAAACAACAAGCACATGAAAAATGTCCAACATTCATTAGTCATTAGGGAAATGCAAGTCAAAACCACCAGATGCCACTTTACTCTCACTCAGTTGGCAATAATGATAATAAAGGGATCCAGCCTGAGCAAGAGCGAGACCCCGTCTCTACTAAAAATAGGAAGAAAAAAAATTAGCCAGGCGTCGTGGAGCACGCCTGTAGTCCCAGCTACTCAGGATGCTAAGGCAAAAGGATCACTTGAGCCCCCAAGTTTGAGGATGCAGTGAGCCATGATGATGCCACTACACTCTAGCCAGGGTGACAGAGCAAGACTCTGTCTCAAAAATAAATAGATACATTAAAAAAAATAATAATAAAGAGAAATAGCGTTGGTGAGGATGTGGAGAAGCTGAAACCTTAAACACTGCTGATGGGAATGTAAAATGGTTTAGCCACTATGCAAAACAGTTTGACAATTTCTCAAAAAGTTAGATGTAGAATCACCATATGACCCTGCAATTCCACTCCTAGGTACATATATACCCCAGAGTTGAAAACATATGTCCATAAAAAACTTCTATACAAATGTGCATAGCAGCACTATTTACAGTAGCCAAAAGGTGGAAACAACTAAAATGTTCGACAACTGATGAATGGATAAACAAAATGTGTTATATTCATACAACTGGAATAGTACTTGGCCATAAAAAGGAACCAAACACGAATACATGCTACGAAACATGGATGAAATTTGAAAACATTGTGCTAAGTGAAAAACGCCAGACACGAAAGGCATATATCGTGTGATTTCATTTATATGAAATGTCCAGAGTAGGTAATCCACAGAGACAGAAAGTAGGTCAGTGGTTGTCAGGGGTTGAGGGGGACCAAGAAGGAGAAGTGACTACTTCGTGGGCACAAGGTTTCCTTTTGGGTTGAGATATCTAACTGGGTTCTGCAGTTAGATATCAGTCATGGCTGCACACA